TTGTCGCCTGCCGTTTGGGAACTTTTTTTATTTTTCTACCACGACCAATCTCCGAGATCACCCATCTAAACTGCGCATTCAGCAGACAAGACTTTATGTGTGCAAGTTCTTCTTCGCTGTCAGAGGGGTCAAGCCATGGAATGCCTCCTCCACATAGACGCTATGATGGCATCATCGCTGGAATGCTTTTAAAGAAACCTCGACTGATATATGTTCAAAAATGAGTCGGAACTATGAGGGATGAAACTTCACCCTTGGAACTCTCGTCCCAAATGTAATATCTTATAGTCCCGTTTAAACTGTTGCAACCCGTATTCTTTTTCTATGCATTGCACTCAATTTTACGTTGCAAAAAGGGTACCAAAATGCTAATGCCTATTTATCGCAACAAACTGAACTAAACTGAAAAATTCACCGTCCCTGCGTCCAACGTGCTGTGTGGGGTCAACCGGTGGAGAGCATCGACACAACCATCAAAATAGGGAGTATTACTTTCCTTGTTATGCTTGACTATCACTCCCTAAGCACAGGTGGGCTAATTAAGTAAGAAGTAGACGTGCTCACTGGGACAAGAACTCTTCTCGCCTAGCATTTCGGAGTTACGCTTGAACTCGTCGTCAGAGACCACATCAGATACGAGTCTAAGCTCATTCAGTGTTTTACGCGGAAGAATGCTTAGGGGTATGATCTGGTGCATTTGTAAGAGTGCAAGGTAGTAAAGGTAACTAAGGTAACTAGAAAGGTAACTAAGAAAGGAAAAGTCAACTCGCCGATTGAGGCGAATATGCGAGTTCCAGGAATCAGTTCAGAGGTAGAAGATGCGATCGCTGGAACAAGAATTTTATTTGCCTGACATTTCGGATTCTGTCAAGAATCCTTAATCATATGTAACCGTAGAGTAGTGTGAGACGTGTATAGATGTATTTATAGTTCATAGCGGCCACCCGCGTACGTAATATCAATATCAGCTCCTGTAACCACCGCTTGAGATCATAATTGGTGTGCTGATGGCTGGGTAGTTCACTTTCGAGTCATTAATGTCCGCGATTTCGCTGCCCGTGTCAGATGCGAGCTTGATAATTGTGCGACAATTATGTTCGCTTTCCTCGATATTGTTGCTCTGCCCGGCCCCTCCCACGTGACTAATTCTCCTGCGCAGACGTCTCAGTGCGCAGTATAGGAACGGCAAATTCTGGATAGAATCCGAAACGGCAGCTAAATAAAATCCTTGTTCCAGCGATTGCATCTTCTACTTCTGAATATTCAAATCGTTAGCCGACAGAGGGACCGAAAAGAAAGTATCATTTAGGCACATATGATGTTAGGCTGCCGATAAGAAACTGCTGTGAGTTTTAGTGATGCGTTGGTGTTGAATTGAAGAATAGTACTTTTCATCAGCTGGTGTCGCGCTGTGATAAATACATGCTTCCATTCTACTTAGCTTTGCTGGTTAGATGGGATTCATCATCGTCAAGCAAATGACAAGTTTTAGATGTGCGTTTAGAGGTCACTGAGACCCTGACCTCCGTGTTACATGGCATGTTAGCCTTCACCAGTAATATAATTATCAGCCGAGAGGGGTGGTAGGCTATGGCTCGCAGAAATGACTCATTACGGGTGTGTTCTCTTTTGCATGCACATAGCGCCGTTGATGTGATCCTCAGGCACCGTGTCTGAGGCGATGAGAATTTAAATGTTTAGATAACCCACATACTTCAATCCTTAACACAGACAAAACTTAATATGTTACAGATGAAGCGATTGTTGCTGGCACGAGTTAGGTCTCTACTGTAACCACCCTCGCAAAGCGGTGAGGTATTTAAAAGCAGATGAACGGGTTTCTAGGGGCACAACAACACATTTCGCTCACACTAGCAATAGGTATTAGTCATCGCAGGAATAACATTGAAATATCTTCAAGCACAACTAGGGAGTGTTCCAAAATTCTTTGCACCCTACTAACAGACTCACAGTCCCTAACGTAATATGTATTTTTTTGCCTTGGTTTACCAATGGCTTTTGCAACAACTATCTTTTCAATTTTCTCCAAACTTTTAGGTCTTCCCGTGTTCTTCTGCCTTGTGAAGTTACCTATTCTTTTGTGCTGTGATCACAAATACTTGGCCGTCCTGGTAGATAAACCTGCAGCTTTAACAACCTCCACTCGCCTCATCCGGGCATATATCATATCTATAGCTCGATCTCTGTCGCCTGGCGAATGAAGACAAAATGACTCGGCAAAGAGGGACTGGGCGCTGGCTATCACAAGTTTTCTGTTATATCTGAACTTCTGTGCTGTACAGTAAACATTGTGTACAAAGTTTGTTTACAAGTAAATCGTCAGCCAATGAAGTTGAGAAATACATAAAAATTATTACTGTTTATTTTATTTCAAAGAAATTATCTAGCTGTTAAAAGGTGCAAATACTTTTTGGACACCGTAAAATTACTATTCTAATGGGCTGAACCTCTAGTACTTGAAGCTGCCTACTAGATGCGTTCATTCTGAACCTTTTTTCGCTTATAGAGGTTGATATGGGGCTAAGTTATGTGCTTATATTAGGTTCAGGTGACTGTTCCCCCTTCTGTGCAATGAGACCGGGTAGACAGGACAAATGCGGGTTTTAACGGTGAAGCAATTAGAAAAAAAGGAAATTTTACTACCAGCATGGAAGGCATAACGCCTGCGGACAAGGAAGGAGATCAAAAACATGAAAGAGTGTGTGCCACTAAGTGGAATCGACAAATCGAACCTCGGGGTGGCTACAACTGGGGCTGGTTATGGCTAGCTGGTGACGGCTTATAATCCAGAAATGGCCATTCCAGTCTTCCTTTTGTTTGTCGCTAATGCCATTCTTGCTATATCATTAGCCACGCTGTGGCTGCAAGCGAAGCTTGAGAGCGAGCCCAACGGCAGAAGATGAAACAACAGAGTTTCGTCCAAACTAACAAGGTGGCGGGTTCTAAAGTCGGGTAGAGCACCACTTGGGATTGGTACGGTTGGTTGATGAAGACTAATAAGCCAGAAATGGTCATTCCAGTCTCCCTTGTCTTCCTTGGCAATGTCATTATGTCTATGCATATGTAACTGAGACAAGTCTTAGACGGAGGTTTTCACACCACGTCATATACTGTTCCCAGTCTCGTTTCTGATCCGTTGGATTTGGACAATAAATTGATGCATGCGAGAGGAAAGATTGAGCCCGACACTAAGGCAGACATCCTAATAGCACCTCATCGTTTTATCCACTATCTCAAACTTGGCACCTTTGATTCTCGTGATTCTTTGACGAGGAGCTAAGAACTGTGGCTCAAAGCTGGTAACTCAATTCTGCCGACGGCTGTGGTACAGACTATAACCGCGCCTTCTTACTTTGGCCTATATAACGTTCTCAGCAAAGGGAGATTCAATCCCCACCCGCCAAACTTAGACTAGATGTTGTGTGACACACATAGACGGGCTGTTTAGTTTTGTCAGTCGCCGCACTGTCATTGGAAAATTGCGGACATGAAAGAAGGAGTCAAGCTGAGTGAGTCTGCTTCGCCTTAAACGAATCCGTGTGTCCTGATGGACATGTGTCATAAGACAGTAGTGGACCTCTTGTCCGCAACAGTCAACCTCTGATGTGTATGTGTGGTGGGCTGAGTCAACCTGCAATGAGTCCTTCTTAGTGTAGGTTCTATGACACTCTCATACACACTGAGTCCGATCCATCCACCTCGTTGTGTGAAATAATGGCCTGTGGATGGCCAAGTCGCGTATACGGCACACTCCCAAACAGCCTGTCTACCTCTGTCCGTGCTCACTCCACCATCAGACAAGTGACTGGCTTGGACAGTGGACGGTGCATGGAAGTTGAAATGGACAGTGAGGTAGAACGTCACAGCGCATAAAATTTAGGGCGGCTCGAACCTATCATGCTGGGCTAGAAGGCGTGGCTTTTAAGTTTGCCAACTGATGGGGTAACTCGGACCGCGCAGTCAGCTCAGTTAGTGCTTGTTTGGCGTGACCGACTTAGAGGCAGGTTACAATGGCTCCGTCGTAATATGGCATTCCAAATCAATGGGATCCAGCGGACTCCCTTTACTATCGAGGGAAATCCTCGTTTTTTGCGTAGACCAGGGGGTATGATGGCACGCCTAAGTGCTGGTTCTGGCCGCGCCAGCCACCT